TCTCTATTACCTTGCAATAAAAGTCTCGTTCATATCAGGATCTAAGCCTATCTGCCCTCAATTAAATACGCTTTTCGTTTCTGCACCTTACCTTACTATTTATATTGTCTAAGCTTCTTAAAAATTACAAAATCAATTGTTAAGGATTTTTATTAGGAAGCGCAGAAGCCAGTTGTTGCCTACCGCAATCTCGACGACTCGATCAACTGTTAAAGCCATTAATTTATGATCTTAACAATTCCTAACACAAGCCAAATAATATTGGGCAACATTATTTAAATTTTCATTCCAAGTAACCTATAAATAGGAATTCCAGTTTGCAAAGTTCTTTTATGTTTTTTTCTCACCCACAATAGTTTAATCACAGGTTTTATAGTCAAAGGCTTTAACCTAAATGAACAACTACCACACAACATCATACGATGAAATAATTTCTTAAGATAAATATATTAGATTAGGTCAAATCTATTAAAATGCAAATAAATTTGCATACCTTGCTCAATGTAAACTTTCTCCTCTGGAGCCCAAAAAGCACACACAGCCCTAAGGAAACAATTTAAAAGGAGGAAATCAAATAACATCTCAAAGTATAGTATTAATAGTGAATCAAACATAATTTATTATGAATTTTTATGAATCAAACATAATTCCTTTTGACCAAGAAGACTAATTTCTCTTTTTTCATTCCCTCCCACTATAAACCTACTTTAGTTCTACGGAACTGGGAAAAAAAACAAATTGCAGAACATGGGCAGCCTACATAACATGTTACATAGTTGGAAATTAAGTATACGAACAAAATGGCTCAATAGATGATTTGGCGAGAACCCATTTTCATACTATAGGCCCTAATCTCAAAGCTTCACACCAGATTCATCACAATTATAGTTTAAGCATTTGGGCGCTAGGTCTGTTCATGAACCATTCATATACAAGTGACTGCAAATTCAAAAGAAGAACAAGCAGTGAAAGAAAGCAGGGAGAGGGTGTGCTTACAGTACATACGAGGGGCGGTAGGGCGGAATTGTTTCCATAACGGGCCAGTAACCAATTTATACCTGCTGAAGGAAGGAGGGCTGGGGATCGAGGCTCTTACATTATACGTAACTGATGCAAGCAATTACAATGAATTGAAAGCAACAATAATTTGCTTATTAATGAGGATGGAGAGGAGCAGAGCAGATTATAATCCGGAGAAACGGCTTGGTCAATCACGCTCGATGCACACCTCCGGCACGCACACCAGAGGGTAGGCCGCGAGATATTGAAAGGCGGGGGGGACCCGTGGGCGAAATCGGGGTTGAAGGGTGTGATAAACGGGAGCGAAACGGAAGTATATTGGGGAGGGTAGAACGGAGCAGACGGAAGTTAAACGGAATAATAAAACCTATTCAAAAGCACAGGGGATAAAACACAGTGTACAACTTGAGAAAGCAATGAGTTCCACCAACACAAATTTCAACCCTAAAATACCCTAACCTCCATTGAGTATTATAAGATCTTAAGATATATATATATATATATATATATATATATATATATATATATATATATATATAATTTAAAAAAAATCTGAAGACCGTATAGAGTGAAAACACTTGTTGCATCCATGCTCCGTCACTAAACTTAATTGTAAACCATTTTTTTTACAAAAATGGTAAGATCTAATATGTTGACTTAGGTTCAAAATTTCTTATTAATAGATTAATTGCTAAAGTTAAGATCTCATAGCTATTTTTAAAATCATTTATGTATATTTTTCATCTGAAGTAAAGTAAAAATATATTCAGCGAATCGACGATGCTAGTCGTATGGTAAAACTTGATTGATGGGGTGACTTTTTCATAAAATCTAGAACCGTCAATATATTCATCAAACATATTTCTTTACTTTCTATTAAGAAATACTCCATCCCTCCCATTAGAAGGTTCCCACATTCCTTTTTTGGATATCCCGTTAGAAGGTTCTCATTTCCATTTTATGAAAAAATTAACAATCTTAAGTGACAAATTAGTCATTAAATATTAAAAATAATACATTTATAACATCACAGTTATCAATACTAACACATTATAATATATACCTATTAAAATTATTTCTCAAAATATACCTGAAGTACTTTATTTAATTATCACCTAAATAACCGTGGCGTTTTGCTATGGGAACCTTCCAGCGGGACGAAGGTTGTATCTACGAGGTAAACATAACAATGAGATATAAAAATTTACATTTAGATTTGTTTATGAAAACTTTGAACCGAAATTACTAATCGGTTTTTCATATTTTTGAAAAATACATACTACGTATTAGGATGTTTTTGTTTGGACTAAAATTTGCTAATCTGGTATGTAGTTGTTTTGTCTGAACTGCTCTGGACTGGAAAATGTATGGTCTCTGTGTATTTTATAGTATGAAACTCTGGTCTCATGTGGTTTGTTAAAATTTGGTCTAGTCTGGTTTAGTCTGTTTAAGTTTGGTCGGTCTAAGATTGAAAATAGTCCAAGTAAAAAGTATTCTTAGTTTAGAATTATGTTTATTGACGGATCATGGTTGTAACGGGCCTTATCGTCTTATATGGCCTACAGATTTTTTAAAATTTTATATATCCAATATTGGTGCTATATGAAATATCATAAAAAGTTATGAAATTTGGTATATTTTTTAAAATGTTTCAAGTAAGAATGTAAAAAATAGAGCACTTTAAAGAAAAAGTGAATTTTTAATTTATATCCCACCTGGCCACCTTATCTCCTCTCCATAGCAATAGGCCGTGTTTCTATTCCTTCGGACGCTGTGGTTCACATGTGGGAGGAAAGTCGCACATTTGGTTTGGCGATTCTCCCAACTATGATTAATTTGAACAGTATTCTTGTAAATAGTTTTAACCTTGCATCAATTTTGTAAATAGTTTATTTTTTAGCATTAATATGGAAGAAAGCTCCAATAAAGCGAGTGTAGAAATAGGCATTCGGCGGAGGTCAATTTTAGCCTGGCAAAAGGCTCAGTTTTCTTTACAGGAGCATTTATTATATTCTCGAGTGACGTGCATGATACAGAGATAAAGGTGATATATTGAAGTTGATAATAGTCTAAAATACAGAGTAGGGACTGTTTGTAACTGCTTCTACTTTAAAAAAAGTATTTTTGGAGATGTAAGGATAAAGTGATTAATAATAAAAATTGATAGTAAAAAAGTTAGATTCCAGAGCTGAGAACTTCTCTCTAAAACTTTGGTCCTCCTAGGGCTCAGCCGCTAGGTTAGTTTTTCGATTTCGGCCTTCGGCCGGTGATCGGGATTGTAGGCGAGGAAGGTCAAGGCAGGCAGCGGGGAAGTAAGGCCACGCATCGAACTTTGGTTTCGATAGGACCGAGGAATTGCATCGGAACAGGGAGATCGTTGGCCGAAGGTTCCGGTGCATGGAGGACATAGTAGCATCATACAAAAGAATGTCGATGGCAGAGCAGGGCAGCGAGTTGAACTTCGACAAGGAACCTGATGAGGAAGCCGTGATGGAGAGTGAACCGGTGGCGCATCCGGTGGTCGTGGTGGTCATCACAGACCGAAAGATTAAACTACCCGGGTTTCAAGAATTGATGTCTTCCCTTTGGAAGCCAAGTAAAGGTATGACTATCAAAGAAATCGGCGAAGGAATGTACTTGCTAAACTTTAATCACGTTTTGGATATGAATCGTGTGATTGAGGATGGTCCTTGGTTGTTTGAGCGTGATTTAATACTGCTAAAAGCTATCCAACCGGATGATATACCTGAATCAATGAATTTATTTGAAAATTGGAAATTTTTAGGTTCTTTTATTAAGTTTGAGATGAGCCAATTTGAGGGTAGGCAAAATTCCTATCTTCGGATAAGGGTATGTTTGGATGTTCGCCAGCCCTTGAAAAAAGGTACAAATTTGACACAAGATGGGGTGAAACACTGGGTAGATATCAAATATGAGAAGCTACCCAGTTTCTGCTTTATTTGTGGTATTATTGGGCATTCTGATAAGTTTTGTCCATTAAAATATGAAGAGGGCTTTGTCGCTGAAAAAATGTATGGGGCGAGTCTCAGGGCAGGAGGAAGGGTAAAGACTAGCCCGACAGGATTCAATAAATGGTTATCTGATGGAGCCTCTAGCTCAGATGGGTATGGAAGTCAGCGGAAGTCTCATCTCGGTAGGGAGCAGACGGCTGAATCCAAGAATGAGGAAGAGGAAAAAGAGGAAGCCAAAGCTGGGATATGTGTGCACACTTGCTTTAGCCAAAGTTGTCCTTGGGACAAGTGAAACATCTTTGGGAAGGATGGTTCATTTTTCCCTATAAATACTAAAAGCTCCTTTCAAGTGAACAAACCCTCAATTCTTTCTCTTGACATTTTGAGCCCACGAGCAAGAACATCATCCCTAAATACGTGTGAGTATATATATATATATATATATATATATATATATATATATATATATATATATATATATATATATATAAAAGGCTTGACACATCAGACAGAAGTTGTTCTTTTGTTAATAAGAAATGGAAAGTATGCAAACTTGTACTACCTGCAGGAGAAACTTCAACTACCGGCATGTCTAGGAGTGAAAGAAGCACACACCTACTTAACAATGGGTCTCTCGCAGCCATTCTCTAATCAAAATTTGATATTCATGCAAAACCAAACAGAAGCCTTCTATCCTTAACTCATTCTTTTATTTATACTAACTAAATGAAGGAATTTAATTTCAGTTTCATAGAAAATAAAAATTTGATAGAGAGTTCACCAACACTACACGAAAAAAACGTATTTTGTGCTTTGGTTTATTCCAATCATAATAGAAATCTCAACATAAACTTGAACACACAGAAATACATACACACATACATATATAGACACACAGAGTAATGCAAATGATCTGAGCAAACAACTTATATTAAAAGAAGTTAAAACTTGACTTGGTTGAGGAAATGGATTGAAGTAAATTTAACTCCAAGTTCTTATCACAGTTTAGGGGTTTTACAATTTAGGAAATAGATGGCAGGCCATTAGCACAACAGTTTATATTTTTTTATATATAAAGTATAGCGTAAGTAAAAAAGATCAATATAGTCCAGCTCCAATGTGTCTGAAACTACCAGAGTACGCAAATAATACCGTATGATCAGCCCATCGTGCACACAGTGTGCCGATCACTGTTACGAATAATATATTGTTGGCCCAAACGTTTTTTTATATTAATAATAGTTAACACACTGTCTAGCAGCCCACTACACTTACCCTTTTATCTGTCTGGCCTATCAATATTTGTCTCTCTCGTTAGAATTTGAATTCAGCTCATTATTGAGCTAGTGGTGAGTTGTGTGTGCAGTGAATTATGAGTGTCCCTACTAATAAGGCCAAAATGCTTCTCTGTTATAAGCACACCCCTGCACCCTTTGTTCTGTGAGTGAAAGACACACCATAGAATTTCATTAGTTGAACCTTTTCTTCCTGCTAGAGAGAGTGCTCATAGTGAGGTAGCTTTCCTTCTTCTTGGTGAGGTTAGGAGGGTGAGTGTTGGCGAGGCTAGAAATGTGTGTTGCTCCCTTAACCTAGGTGTGCACAAGAGACAACCGGAAAACCGAGCTCCGGACTGCCTGAGCCGGAATACGTCGACGGAATCGATCCTCAACAGTGGTATCAGAGAATCGATCCTCAACAGTGGTATCAGAGACAGGGGCTGTCTCCGTCATCGATTTTGCTGGATTTTGCCCTCCGCCGTCGCTCACTGACGCCCGCCGCTGCCCACCGCCGGTTGAATCTAGTGGATGCCTCGCCGCTGTACTCCGCCGGAACCTTTCGCTGCCTGAACCGCCGCTTGTCGTAGCTGGTTCATCATCTCTGTCAGAGATTGAAGCCACTGGAGGTTGCTGCTGAAACTGGAGGTCCTGGTCTTCGCTTGACCGTCCAGTTCGCTGTTCTCTCGTCGCTTGGAAGTCGCCGTCCGCCATCAATGTCGCTGCTCATCACCGCCTGAGGATGTCGCCGGTTAGTAGCTCGACTCGCTGCTAGGGATCGCTGGAGCGTGGACCGTGAAGCCTGGTGGCCGAAACTGGATTTCAAGGCGGAGGTATCTGCATTGCTCGCTGGACTTTGAGGTTGGACTTTGTGGCTGAGAAGTCTACTTCGCTGGACTCTAGGCTACTACTCACGGTCTCACATGCCTGGAAAAACCTGGAATTGAGCTGGAGCCTGGACGTAAGCAATATTGGACTGCTTTGTTGCTGGGTTTCGGGCTGCTCACTGCTGGGCTGAGTTTGGGACCCTAGTTGCTGGATGCTGAAGCCTGTTGCAGGCTTGTACTCCTTGGGCTGGTGAGCTGGTCACACCTGGAGTATAGTTGGATGCCTATGACTTGGTCAAAATCAGTCAACAGTCAATCAACATTTCTAGAAAAATCCTAATTTTTAAATTAGGTGGGTAAGGTCCAAACACTCTCCTAGTGTTTGGTTGTTGTAAGTCTTCTTTATCCGAAATTTCAGTTTATGCTTTTCAATTATTTTAAAGTTGCATTTTATATTTTCTTATTTAGTTTTTTCTGTGTGAAAATGTCTGCTTTTAATCAGTATGGAATGACTCCATTTAATGGAAAAACTGATTTTAGCATATGGAAACAGAAAATAAAGTGCATATTAATTCATCAAAAATCATATAGGGCCATTAGTGAGACCTATTTGGCTTCTGATACGGAAGAGAAAAAAGAAGAAAGGAATGAAAATGCTTGTTCTACATATTACTTGAACTTATCTGATTGTGTGCTCAGAAAAGTAGGAATTTTAGAATCAGCCAAATCTTTGTGGAATAAACTTGAAGAGCTTTATAACGTAACCTTTTTCCCTAACCGGATGTTTTTACTTGAAAAGTTCTTCAAATTTAGACTAGATATGTCTAAGGATATTGAAGAAAATCTAGATGTTTTTACCAAACTTATTTCGGATATTAAGTTGTGTGGTGATAAGCATATAGATGATTATTCCCCTATTGCTCTTTTAAATGCTATATATTCCTGATTTCTTTGGTGATGTGAAATCTGCTATTAAATATAGTAGAGATAATGTGACTCTTGACATTGTGGTAAATGGTCTTAAACGTAAGGAATTAGATTTAAAACAGATGGGTTAGGGTAGAAAATCTGAGGAGGTTATGCATGTGAGGGGTAGAGAAAACAATAGTAGACGACATAGATCTAAGTCTAGGTCTAATTCGAGGCGTTGCTATTATTGTCATGAACATGGTCATTTCATAAGAGACTGTCCTAAATCTAGGAAAAATGAGCATAGTGAGCATGCTAATTTCACTACGTGTGAAGATGATTTAAGTGATGTTTTTATGATTAGTAATCTATGTGATTTTGACTACTTGAGTTCTGTGATATCTGATTCTTTGGGTAAATCAGATTGATTGGTAGATTCTTGTTGTACTTTTCATATGTCCCCTTTGAAAAATGTTTTTTCAAACGATAGAGAGATTGAGCATGGCTTTGTGTCTTTAGAAAATGAGAAGAAATGTAATGTGCTAGGAATAGGAGATGTATGCCTTAGGTTCTCTTGTGGTTATGTGCTTACTTTGAAGAATGTTAGACATGTTTCTGAGCTGTGCTGTAATTTGCTATCTTGTGCTTCCCTTGAAAATGAGGGTTTGAAGGGAAAATGAGGAAAGGGAATCATGAAAGTTGTTGATGGAGTATATGGCCCAGGAACCCCCGGCCCATAGACTCCTACTTCTCCCACACAAGTCCATTGGGCCCAGGGAACAACTCAGGCCCAAGTGTAACGGCCCAAGCCTCAAAATAGCCCAGAATACACACTGGGGCGCCTTCGGCCTCCCTGGCCGAAGGCTCCAGAACTCACAGGATAGCCTTTTTTGGCATAAGAAGCTGCTGGGAGAAAACGGGCGAAAACATGAGCCTTCGGCATTTTCGTGACCTCGGCATCAGGAAAGCCTTCGGCTGAACCAAGCCTTCGGCCACACGGGGCCTTCGGCCATACAAGGGTCCTTACCACAAGGAGCCCTCGGCTATACGAGGAGCCCTCGGCTATACGAGGAGCCCTCGGCTACACAAGGAGCCCTTGGCTACACAAGGAGCCATCGGCTGAACTAGCTCAATCATCGAAGATTCCTTTTGGAGACAGCCAACCACCGCATTTAATACCACGTCACATCCGCCAACCGCATTCAATGCGGTAAACGTACCACTGACGGTGCCAACCGGCTGATGTGACCCTTCGGCCGTTGGATTACTGACACGCGTCCTCTCATCGCATTTATTGCTGCTATAAATAGCGGCCCATTTCTCCTTGTAAATGATGGGCTACATCCTAACTCCATATCTCGAGTTCATTGAATAAAATCGACTCTCTCTCCTCCTATTTGCTCTGACTTCTCTCTAAGTTATTCCCGCAATAACCCCTCGGATAAGATACCCCCCGGGTAGACAATCCATCATTTGGTGCTCTCGTTGAGAGGTCTGAACTATCAAGTAAGAAACCCTCCCCCTCTACCAAATACATAACACTTACCAAAAAATGGGAAGAACCACTCGTGCCCAATCCAAAACCCTAGAGGAGAACCACGTAGCTCCCGGCGAAACCAACGGGGCTGAGGCCTCCAACAGGCTCTTAGTGCCGAGGGGTGGTATCATCCTCGAATTGGAGCAGGCTACCGCTGACCTCCGTCAGCAGCTACAGAAGAATGCCCCTGATGCCCGCATTGGCCTTGATAATCGAAGGAGGGATCGGAGTGAGAACCAAGTTCCCCCTCCGGCCTCGGCCATCGATCTTCAGGTTGCCTTTGCGGCCTTTGTTCAAAACATGGCTCTCAATTCCGGGGCCCTTGCCTCTCAGGCACCCCTCCAGCCCTACGCTGGAGGAAATGTTATTCAATTGCCGCCACTCCCCCCCTCTATTCAACAATCCTTCCCCGGGGATTGGAAACGCCGAGGGGATCATAGCACAGGATACCGCCTCCCAGGAGGCCCAATCCAGGGACAAGCGCCCCATGATGAAGGAGAAACCCCGAACCTCTGCACTTGAGAGGCTTGGGGGAGCTCCTGGACGCCGAGGGGTCCAAGACCGCCTCGGCAAACAGGAAGCCACCAGGCCCCAGGAGAGTGGAGCCTCCGCTTCGGGGGCCGAGGGCATGCCTCCACCCCGGAGCAAAGGCAAAGCCCTCCTCCATGCCAATGATGCCAGGCACCAAATCACACAGGCGCAATCCTTCCGGGCCAACTCCCAAGGGGTTGCCCCGAAGGATCCCAAGGACGAAATTATCGAGGCCCTCCTCCGCCAACTTGAGGAGAATCGTCAGGCACCGCCGACGGCTTCCACAGCTAGGCCAGATCCGGAGTACGCTGACCTCCGGGCACAGGTGGAGGAAATGAAACGTAAACTTGCCGAAGGCTCAGGCGAGCCCCTCATTCAACTCCGCACTAGAACGCCCTTCACCCCAAGAGTGCTGGCGGCCAAGATCCCCCATAAATACCGGGGGCAACCCATCAAACCGTATGAGGGGAAGACGGATCCCCAAGAACACTATAGCCGCTATCAAAATAGCATGATGATGATGGGGGCCTCGGATGAATATTTATGCCGTTGGTTCCTTTCCACCCTGGAGGGACCAGCGTATGAGTGGTACAACCGGTTGCCCGAAGGCTGCATTGATTCTTGGCAAGAACTTGCCCACCGCTTCCTCACACAATTTGCAGGGAGGCACCGCTCAAAGAAACACTTCTCCCACCTTCTAAACGTAAGACAACAGAAGGAGGAAACCCTTCGGAGTTTCTTGGAACGCTGGAGGCAAGCCTCCCTTGAGGTCGAGGGCGCCGATGACAGAACCTTGATGGCCCTCTTCCACACCGTCCTCCGCAACGGTAACTTCTCCAGGAGCCTCATCACTGATCCCCCCCGCGATTATACCAAGGCCCTTCAGCGGGGGGACCGCTATGCCGAGGCGGAGGAAATCGAGAAGGATCGCCGCAACACAGATCCTTCCCAGAAAAATGAGGGCAGGAATCGGCCCGGAGGGCCTCCCCCTCCGGCCAACCGAGAACCACAGTACAACGATCGCCCCCGAGGTGGCCAAGCCAGACCCGGGGGCGGTTACAAGAACAATCCGAAGGCGTGGGCGCAACCCGTCCTCCTTGAGCACCCACGTACTCCCCTGACGCACCCCGTCAGCGTCATCTTGGACCACGCAGAAGAGCGAGGGCTGGTGGAGCGAGACTCCCGTACACCCCTCGAGATTTATGCCATCGGTCCTGATGAGCCCTATTGCCGCTTCCATCGCCACCATGGACACAAAACCGACGATTGCCATCAACTGAAAAACGCAATTGAGAGGCTGATACAGGCAGGCCACTTGTCTCAGTTTGTCAGGGGCCCTCCTCCCCAGGGCCCCCTCCATCACTAAGGCCCTCCACCGAAGGCAAACAAGTGGGTGAACCCCAACACCATCCCTTTGGGAAACCCACAGGGGAAAAAACGTGAGATTGGGGGCCTCGACGACGAGGGAGAGGGGTCCTATCAACAATACAAGCGTCATATCCATATGATCAACGGCGGCAACACCGGAGGCGATTCAACAAGCCAAAGGAAGAAGTGGGCACAGTCCCTTTACATTGGGGAAGTCAATCACATGCCCCCAACTAAAAGGCCGAGGGCGGATCCAATCTTCTTCACAGATGCGGACCTCCCCTCGGGTTCTCTGCCGCATAGGGATGCCCTCGTCATCCGCACTGAGATCAATGACGCCATCATCCACCGGACTTACGTCGACACGGGGAGTTCTGTCAACGTCATGTATCTCAGCACTTTTCAAGAGTTGGGACTCGATAGGGGGTCCCTTCGGCACATCAACACCCCCCTCTCCGGATTTACGGGGGATAGCGTAGACGCCGAGGGCGTCATCACCCTCATGGTCGAATTCGGCGATGGATCCCATAGAGCCAAGCTCGATGTGGAATTCGTCGTCGTCAACCTCGACTGTGCACACAACATCATCCTCGGCCGGCCCGCCCTCGAGGATTTGGAGGCTGTCATCTCCATGAGGCATCTCTGCCTCAAGTTCCCCACGCCTATCGGCATCGGTTACTCGAGGGGGAATCAGAAGCTCTCCAGGGCCTGCTACCTTCAACTCACCAAGAAGGTTAGTAAAACT